GTCATTAAAAATAATCAGATGAAAGGCTAGATTTTATTTGCGAAGATAAATTAGCCAAAAGATGCATCTAGGTGTCTCTGATTGAGGAATATTGACAACCAGTGGAAATCCTCTGTGTGTTTACAGTGTTAAGCACTTATACAACTCCTAAGTCTAAGATCCCTTAACTCTCATTAGCTAATTATCTCCTAAGGGCGGATGGGTAGTTAAGGGAATACTGGAATCATGCCAGCCTTTAGAGCTACAAAATATACATGTATTGGTACTGTCCAGACTTGGTATTGTTACACCATTTCCCAGTATAGGCCAATCAGTTAATGTGTGCTTAGTTTACGACCACATCTGCCCCTCCCTTTCAAGTGCAAGTTTCCGAAACAAAAAATAATATCTCTTGTACATATTGTGAAAACATCGTGACCACTGGGTGTCTCTTCAAATCAGAATCCCTGAATTAACTCTTGAGTGTTGGTACTTACTGAAATTATCCTGGATGATTCTAGCATCAAGACCAAGAGTCATGACTCAAATAGCCAACAGATCCTCCCCTACCATCTCCAGATAGTGAAAAGTGGAATTTGATGGAAGACAACTGTTTCTAAACACTAGTCCTCAATGCATAGCACATCCAATTCTGCTTCCAATATGTATTTTCTAGTATGAAAGTACTCAAGAGATTTGAAGCAGCTCGAAGACTTAGTACACATATGTATATAAAAAGTTATTATGAAAAGAATCATTAGTCATGCTTTGGAATTTTCTATTATATTCTATGCTTTATCTTTGATTTTTTTCACTCACAGCAGTTGCCAGCTCAACATGCAATTTTGTGTCTAGATTCTCAATTTTTCTATCCTAATAATAAGCAGTATTCATTTGTTTCTTTCAAGATCATTGCTAAAAATGAAATCAATGAACTGAGGCAAATAGAACATCTCTATGACTACACTAAAATATTACAGTAAAATAGAAGTACAGGTCCTGGCAGAATACAGACCCACAGACCATTCTCTAGCTAGGTGTGTCCATTTTGGAACCTTCAGGACCTAAGAGTTTGGGCTTAAATTTGTTAACCTTGGCTAACTTTGGTTTATGGTGCCCTCTACTGGCTATTCCAGCAAAGTGCCCCTTTAAAACTAGGTTGTGGAAAAAGACAAGGGTTTAGACGTGTGCACCTTAAAATATGTATCTGGGCTGGGAATGTGACTTTGTGGTAGAGTGCTCACCTAGCATGCATGAAGCCCTGGTTTCGATCCCTCACTACTATATAAACAGAAAAAGCCAGAAATGGTGCTGTGGCTCAAGTGGTAGAATGTTAACCTTGAGCAAAAGAAGCTCAGGGACAGTGCCCAGTCCCTGAGTCCAGGCCCTAGGACTGGAAAGAAAGAAAGAAAGAAAGAAAGAAAGAAAGAAAGAAAGAAAGAAAGAAAGAAAGAAAGAAAGAAAGAAAGAAAGAAAGAAAGAACAAAAG